TTACGTGGATTAGCGACACTAGAACACTGGTTTCGCTCCCACCACAATCGACAAACACCGACCTTGATCTCAACGGACTCCAATCTCCATCACAACTTATGGAATCCACCATCCTACAACAAAACCGACACACAAGCCAAGAAACTCCTCCATTTCTTAGGTTCATACGGCTTTAAGCTCATATCGCCAAAAGGAGAACCAACACGATTCTCCCCTGGAACTAAACCAAACACCATCGACCTTATATGGGCCAGCTGGAACTTAACAGACAAAGTCACAGGGTGCAAAGTGCTGAAAGAAGACGTAGCATCGGACCACCTACCAGTAGTTGCCTCCCTAAATCTAGACCTTGTCCCTCCCACATCCACCCATATCTCTCTAAAACTAACTGACATTGACGTTCCGCTTTTCCACAGTAAAATCCGATCAAAAATAGCTCTCATCCCACCAGAATGCTCTACAAAAGAGGCTTTGGACAACAAAATCACGGAACTGTCAGAAGTAATTCTTGAGTCAGCTCACGAACAAGGCAAAAGAGTGAAAACCAACCTCAAAAAGCACAAACCCTGGTGGGATAAAGAGAAGCTCAAACCAATCCTCAAAAACCGAAATCGAGCCAAACGATGGATGATTCGAACAAATCTCCCCGAAGCACACACCTGCTATGGAGAATGGCAGCGGTTTTTCAAAGCTCAAGTACTGATAGCAAAAACAAACCACTGGAAAACCTTCCTAGCGAGCTGTTCCAACAACCAAACATATAAAGCATATAAATACACCAAGCAAAACATATCAAGTGAAATCGCTCCCCTATTGAATCAAGATGGATCAACAGCAAACGAAAAAAGTGAACAAGCTAAACCGCTATTCAACGGCACATCAGTAGCACACATAGCAGCTGACCTAGAAGATATCCCAACGGTAAACGACAGAAATCATAACGAAGAATCATTCACATTCCCAATACTAGAAAAAACAGAACTTGAAACCATCATCAATCAACTCCCAAACAAAAAAGCAAACGGTGGTGACAATATCTCAAATGAACTTATCAAATTAGCAGCCCCCGAAATAACCGATTTTCTATGTAATATTTTCAATAACTGTTTTCGCCTAGGCTACTTCCCAAGAAATTGGAGGAGAGCTATCACTATCATCATTAGAAAAGCAGGTAAAGACTCGTATTCAAATCCCAACTCCTACAGACCCATAGCACTCCTCAGCTGTCTAGGCAAACTACTAGAAAAAATTATAACAAATAGAATCACTTACTGGGCCGAAAGTTTTAAAATTATCTCTCCCAATCATATGGGAGGTCGAAAACAACATAGTACTGAGGATGCTTTAGTGATATTAGTATCTTGGATCAAAGAAAGATGGCGCAAAGGAGAAGTTGCTACGGCGCTCTTTCTAGATGTCAAATCAGCGTATCCGTCAGTCCACAGAGAACGCTTGTGGTATATTCTGAAGAAAAATAACTGCCCACTCTACCTTCTCAAACTAGTTCAAGACTTCCTCACCGAACGCAGCACAATCCTCCGCCTCCAAGACTTCTTATCGGATGAATTCAAGATCGAAAACGGACTACCACAGGGATCTCCTCTCTCTGTCATTTTATACATTATATACAACTCGGAAATTCTAGGAAAAACGAACCCTTCACCCTTCTCAAAACAAATTTCACTTGGTTTCATTGATGACATAGTCCATGTTGTATCATCACCATCCATAGAAGAAAACCTAGTATTGATGTCAAACTTCGCAATCAAATCATTGAACTGGGCCAACCGACATGGAGAAATTTTTGACAACAAAAAAGCACAATTAATGCATTTTTCCAACAGACGAAAACAAGAGACCCTATCATTTAAACTCGGTGACGCGACACTTCAGCCAAAAAATGAAGTTAGATGGCTAGGACTATGGCTCGACCCAAAATTGACATTCAACAACCATATCAAGCACATCAATAAGAAAGCTGAACTCTCACTTCAACAATTAAGAAGAATCAACAAATGCTACTCAGGACTCTCAATGAAAGAAGCAAAAAAACTCATTTCATCAATTTTGATCCCGCGGATTTTGTATGGCAGTAATGTATGGTTCACCCAACGTACAAACAAAAAAGTATCCAAAGTGTTAGACACAATCCAAAATGCAGCACATTGTCTAGCAATTGGATCCTTCAAAGGAATGTCAAACGAAATGATGAAACACGATAGCTATATAACACCTTTCACTTGGACGGCAGCAAGAAGACACCATAACTTCATTTTGAAACGACTAACGGCCCCGGACAATCACCCAACACGCATCTTCATTGAACACGAACTCAGGAAAAAACCAAAACATCACCCAGGCCCAATCCACGATGTTCTCAACTATGAAGATTTAAAACAAATCGCAACAGAAAAAATGGAAACAATTTATAGCTATCCAATAGCTCCGTGGATGAAAGGCGTTGGTGAACTTTTTACTTAGACTGTAAGAAAGAAGATGTACTAAAGGTACTCCCCAGACAAATCGAAGAACAAGAAAACGAGAGAAATTCAATGATCATCTTCACGGATGGGTCGGTTTCTCAAGATGGAGGTGGACCAGCGGCAGTTTCAAGAACAATCAACCGATAACAAGCAATTACTTATAAGTACAACTATTCAAACCATGAACCTGAATTAATGGGATTACTACTAGCAACGGAATTGGCAAACGATTTGATTAAACAGAGAAGACCAAACCCAGGAAATATAGCAATTTTTAGTGACAATCAAGGCGTGCTGAAATTAATTCATGATATACCCAAAGCAACATCAGGACAACACATTCAAATTAAAATAAGAACAGAACTGAAAAAACTTCCAGAAAACACTAATATTCGTTTCTTTTGGACACCAGGTCACAAAGGTATTGAACTGAACGAAAAAGCTGACCAACTGGCAGGAGATGCAGCAAAAGAACAACGCTCACCAATGGAACTTCCAACGAGTGTAGGCAGCCTCAAGAAACGAACTAAAGAAAACTTCAACATCAAACTTTATCCATTCAAACCAGGCAACACCCCCTTCACAACAAGTCCTAAGCTCATAGCTAAAGGTTTAGAAGATCTCGAAAAAGGTAGCACAGCAGCTATAGTTCAACTGCGAGTGGGGTTCAGCCCACTCAACGAGCATCTCTTCAAAAGAAATCTATCTTCTTCCCCTCTCTGTAAACACTGTGGATTAACCGAAAACACTAACCATTTTCTTTTATACTGTAAGAAATATACCAAATATAGGAAAAAAATGCGAGCGGAAATAAGAGAAGAAAAATTGAACGTAAATTGGAACAACGCTAACAAACTATTAGATTCTCCAAAGATTTTTCCATTTCTAGCTAATTTTATTCTTAAAACAAAAAGATTTGTACACAATTTCTCATTTCTACAGGAACTCAACCAAGGAGATCAGCCGCGAAGCAAGGGTCGAGTTGTCACGAGATGAAAAGGGATTGACCGAAAACCAAAAAATACCATAAATCGCTGATAAAGTCTCATGTAACAGGGATCGATTGAAAAACATCAGAAACAGCGTACTGCTAAATCTCGTTACAGAGTTCGGTGGATACTACCACCGAGGCAGTTCTTTTTTAATTCTCTCAAAAAAAAAAAAGTCGTTGATAAATGCTCCTGCAACGGGGATAGATTGAAAAACATCAGAAACAACGCACTGTCAAATCTCGTTGCAGAGTTCGCCGGACACTACCGGCGAGGCAGTTTCCTCATATTAACCAATTTTAACAAAATTGTGTTCAAAGTTATCATAACTCTTCAAAAAAAAAAAAAAAACAAGAGAAATTTACAATATAAATTGTCAACTCTCACAGGAAAAAAGGGATAAGGAAAATCCCTTGAAATCGACTGACAACAAACCCCTTGCTTCGACTAGATGGCCGAATTTTCCAAGGTAGACTAGTTTCCACTTATTTTAACTTGTTTAGATAGTGTTTTATGCAATAAAAGCCTTATGCACTTAAAAAAAAAAAAAAAAAAAAAAAAAAAGTCTCAGTCATCTCGGTTTAATTTCATGCGCTCATCAGTTTCCAACAACTTTGTAGGTCCTGTCTTGAAGGAGTGTAAGTACTACTTCGAGCTAGAGCCCATCTTTGCACCTCGACACGGCAACACTCGACTTTCCGTTGCACACAACTTACCTCACGAGACTGAAGATGAAGACAATCCGGCAGAGCCCAATGGTTTCGATCCTGATGGCGACCGTGATCCTTTGGAACACTCATCTCACTCAAATGTAGCTTACTCTACACCGACACCGATTCCCGCCAATTTTATTTCGACGTTTGCCAATTTGAGCACTAGCAGATCAGCCCGCCGGAACGATACCGACCGATTCTAGCTGCCCTGTAGCGGATCCTGAACATCGGCTGTTGAGTCAGCATACCTTACACGACGCCTCTAATATATCTGAACACGAAAGAAAAAACGCGCCGGTCTTCACAGCGGATGCTTTACCAAAACTTCGGCAGGATTGCCCACAACGGGCAGTGCTCGGATCTGTGATTTCACAATATGTACCCGGATTCCCATCGAGGACAAAAAAACCTCAGATCTATGTGAATGCGAATATCCCATTTAGCAGTGTGATATGTGGAGTCCACGGGTCGCGAAAGAGTCTCACCGCTGCAGTACTCCTTGAGGGCTGCTTGCTACCCAATCCAGCACTTGGGACGCTCCCCAAGCCTTTATCTGCGCTCTGGTCAGATATATCCCCTTCTTTAAGCATTCTTCAATGCGTGCCTACTGAATCATCGTTCTTGCAATCTCTAGTTTGCACTATGATACCCAGGCTGCTACTTTTCCTTGCGAGGCTGCCTATCTTTCAATGCCATCCCATGAATCTGTGAAGTTAGGCAAATCCAAGATTTCAATGGTCCCCGTGGTAGTTTTGGTGGCGTAAATCTTCTCACATCAGTTTAGATATTGGTGACACACCATCAGAACAACTGATCAACGCACTTCCATATATCTGGTAATCCTGGAAAGGCCTACGAGTGTGACAGCTATGGCGGCCATATACAAGAATCTTCCGCATGTGCAAGTAAGGGCTTTCCATCTGTCAGCCGAGATCCTCAATTCCAGGCGGATGTTATCATTGATGGGTTGTGACGATACCGGGGTAAGGCAATTCATCTACATATTGCATTCATCATCTTTTTCTGCGATTCCAAACATATAGAATGGATGGTGGTGCAATCATTGGATATACAACTTAACTGAGACCAATCCGTTTGTTTCTCAGAAAATGCCACTTTATCTACAAAGAGCTCTTACAATTTTGCGCGGAATGGGAGTAACCGATTTTGATTACGACGGTAAGTGAAAGCCCTAGACATCTATCTGATTCTTAGAGAGACCCGCCTGACATGCTCAGCCTTCGCCAAAAAGATTTTAAAAACCGAATGCAAGCCAAGGACCTTAATTCAGATCAGCGAAATCACTTCCAAATGCGGATTGAAATGTTAGATTCATATTTGACTTCAACTGAAAATAGTGTCCAAGCATATTTCCAAGCCGGTTGTTTGGTTATTGTGGATCTGCGAGATCCCTTTATGAATTCCTCAATGGTTTCAGCTCTTTTTGAGATAATTGTTGACCTCTTCACCGAGGCTAAGATCCCATCAGGAAAAGTTCTTCGTACGTATCCAGCCTTATCCTTATATCAGCGAGGATCCAAAATATCCTGATTCCAGATCATCATTCATTATTTCTTACAGTCCTGGATGAGGCTCATAAATACTTGGGTGAAACAAACAGCTGCTCAAAATTCACTACCTCTATAGTCTCACTCATTCGTCAACAAAGACACTTTGGGATTAGAACCCTCATTGCTACTCAGGAACCCACTGTGATTCCTCATGCCATATTGGGTTTGGCATCATCTCTTATCATCCACCGGTTCAGTTCGCCCGCATGGGCTCAACATCTATCTCGTCATATTTGTACAGATGATGAGCAGGGTGAGACAGGTTGGAGGCATCGTATCACAGAATTAAGGCTTGGTGAGGCGATGGTGGTAGCACCAAGTGGGCTTGGAGTCAGAGAATCAGATCAAGCTGTTGTTCCTTTTTCGACTGGCTTCATCATCACTCGTACTAGACAGCGTCTCACACTCGATGGTGGATTTTCTGTCACAGCTTGTGATACAAGATGAACTTTCTGATCATGTTCTGAAGATTTCTGCCTTTATGAGATCTTCATCTATATTTGCTTTCTATTGCGATCATTTGTCTGATTTCGATGTTTATGACTTTGATATATTCAATTTCAGCTGGTGTTTGCTCTGCTTCCGTCAAACTTCATGCATAGAAAAAATAAAATCGGTATTTAGATGGCCTGCTTGTTATATGTATGTACTTGCTAGAGGTCAAGAAGAAAGCTTGCTTTATATTGCTCACAATCGATCCAAGGGGCTCCGACATTCTAACATCGCGTCCATTGGCTTCTGTCTGTAGCTTAGATTCCTTGCAAGGAATTCCAATAGGTACAGATGTGTTGCGACATTGGTATTTTCAATTACATGCCGTGTGTAACAAGAACAAAGGTTGGTATTATTCCACCACCTCGCTGTAATTGAAATGAAAAAGTAATGATAATCACAAGGAAGAAAAAGCCCAGCATGTCAAAGTATTTAAAACAGTCCATGAACTCTTAAAACTGTAAACAAGAAGAAAGTTTGGAAAGGCGATATCTATCGTATGGAAGTCTAAAGGAGGGTAATTGCTTTACAAATTGAGCGAATGAGAGTGGTAGGATAGCAAAACACCTGCTTTAAACTGATGGACCGGATGTGTTATGTCTCACTTGAGCAAATGAGCTGGGTAAGATACTTTGTGGATTTGCAGACATCATTCCAATGGGATCAATCTGTGTTTTGATACGTTGAAGCTTACTATATTGATCGTCATAGTACTGTTTTTTTGATGAAATTTTGATAGTAACCAAGTGGATATGGCGAGATCAGTATTTAACTTCTGACAAACTTCTGACAAGTTGTGACAGATACATTAATGATTCTGCTTACTCTGGTGGACCATTCTGCTTGACTATAGGCTGAGTCTCGGTAATTAGGATAACTTCTAGGTCTTTGAATACTATCAAACAGAGGTTTGGTGAAGGATTGGGTAAATGCGATACCATCCTTTGGCCATGCGTCTGGTGTCGTTTGATTGAGGAAGACCCCATCGCTACGGATCAAGAGCAATGCCTGACTATGGGGAAAACTGTATTCGCCGCTTTTTGTAATCATCTTACTGCTGTAGGATTTGAACCCGCCCCTGAAGTCAACAGCGAAGAGGATTGGATGCTCTGTCTTAGTTCAAATCCGCGGGCCGCATCATGCAGTGAAACAAGAGTGCGTTGAAGAGATATTCACTCACCATAAATCTGAGAAGATTTGAATTTGCTGTATTGGAATGACATTCAAGGTATGTGAGTATTCACAACAAGCTGGGATCAATGTAAGGAAGGTTCGCTTACAAAGCCAGCCGGTCGTTTCTCTTGGCCATGATCGTAGATTCGAGCAATAAAAGAGCTGATAGCAGACGCTTTCAAGGGCTCGAATGTCAAAAGAGATCGTGTATATGTGACACCATGAATTTTCTCGGCTGGTGCAGCTTCAAGTGGGCCAGTGAACAACGCCTGCGTGATTTTGGCAAAGGGAAAACCAATCAAATTAGTGAGGCGCTTGCAGGTTATTGGGAATTGGATACAGCTACTCACCTCCGATTCAGCAAAAGTCGAAGCACTGAGGATGCAACCCCAAAGGTGACAAGGATCAGATTGATTAGAAAAACGGATTTCAAAACGCGACAGCCTTTCAACGAATCATGAGAGGTCATGCAGACGGGACTTGAAGCACGTACGATATATTTGCAGACGTCGGCATAGGAAGTTTGCTCAATACAGGCTTCATGATCGAAGGGAATTCTTTGATGTCTCCATAATAAAGTCCTATCGAATTATTGAAAGTTAAGAGTTTGTACTAGCAATCTCAGATGCCTGATATGCAATGAGCTACAAACCTTGTATGAACATGTTCGAAGGAAGGCCAAGTCGAATCCGTATACCTAACTCTGGGGGTGCTGAGTTGATGCCAAAGTCTTGAAAGGTGGTAAAAGCTGTTGTAGCTTCTTCGAGAGTCGGATTTTGCCACTGGTAGATATATGTCACCGGGTTAGCATACGGCTTATGGACTCTCAACTCGATAGACACGATGATCCCAAAGCTTGAGCCGGCACCCAAGACAGCCTGTTCAAGAGACAAAAGGATTAGAATGCTGTCAAGTTACTTGATGTGAAATAGTAAGGTGCTTGCTGGAACCCACGAAGAAGATATCAGGATTCTCGCTCTTGGTCGCGCGAACAAGTTTGCCGCTGGGCAAGACGATGTTGACGGCCTGTGTTGATGAAGAGAATATGTCAGACTGATTCCACATTTAATATCATGGCCAGTATTCAATTGCCTTGATTATTTTGAAGTTTTATTGGTTGAGGATGGTACTGACCACAACGTTATCAAGAGTTGTTCCCACGAGGCGCGAGGAAGGACCAAATCCACCTCCAATGGCTGAACCAACAACTCCAACCTGAGAGAGATGATGAAAGATTAGTGAACGAACTCTGCTTGTTACGAGTAGAAGAAAGATCTGAACAAACCTCAGTATAACGTGCATGTGGCCAGGAGAGTCCGCCATTTTTGATCAAAAACAATGTCAACTCTCTCACTAAGACACCACCCCCAACTTTAACAACCTCAGCACCATCAACAGCTGGTAGCATACTCATGTCCTTGAAGTTTTGCATATTGACTACCACTGCACCATCTACACCACCAAGTCCGAAAGATGCGAAAGAATGTCCGCCACATAGAGGTGCTAATCGGGTTTGAGGGAATTGACTCGCACACGCCACAATTGCTGAAACACTTTCTTCGTTTTTGGGGAAGATCATAGCAGCAGGGATCGGAGCAATACGTAAGTTGTACGGTTTTATTGCGTCCAACCATTCGGGAGAGTTGGAAGTCAACAGCTTATCACCAATCGCATTTAAACATGAAATGATGTCAGAAGATGGTGATTTATCAGATGAAGGTTTCTGAGTCGCATTCGAATGTGTCGAAACGGAGCCGTCAACGGGCAAAAATGCCATCAAGGCCAAAAGAAGGGGCTGAGAGAAATGCATGAAGACGCTAGAAAGCAACTACGGATTTCGAAAATTATTTTGTGTTGAAAGGTTTGAAGGAAGGGACTCGCTGGAGTATATATTTGAGGGGACCCAAACCCAAGTTTGATTTTATATCTGGACTCAAATGATGTGGGACCTTGTGGGACCCTTTGAATCTCATACAGGACATGGGCAGGCAAAAAAAACTTCTAAAAGTACGCGGTTGATAGTTCAAGGCGCAATTGTGACGGGTACAAATCGAGTTAAGAGCTTGTAGCCTGTCTACAGTGGCGTGGCACTGCGTATGGGTTCAGGTTTACCGTTTTTCTGGTGGTGTTTGCCGGTGAGAGCGTCGAGCTTCTATGGCGATTGCGTGAGAGTGGCAGAAGATCTGTGATTAGCCAGCGCAGTTGGCAGGACTTGTAAATATCACGTAGTGATCCGCGGGATTACACAGACCTACACAGACCGTTCCGTCAATAGTAAGTGGGCCTATCACCCGTCCCTGGCCCCGCCCGGCCGAGTCCGCCCGAGAGTTTTTTGGGCTAGGTCGAGGCCGAGCCCGGGGCCGCAAGTCTAGCCTGGCAATAGTGAGAATAGCCCCATTCCGCGGCTACTCGGGGCCGGGGCCGTCAAGAAAAAAAATGTGGAGGCATTGCTGAAGGCTTGTTGATGCAATTTTCTGGAAAAATCAACGTCATCAAGCATCCGTCCTAAGCTCTTGAACAGGCTTAAAATGGGCTGGCCCAAGCCAGGGCCTGCCCGGTGCTGCCCGACAACATTCTTGAGGGTGTCGTGGCCGAGGCCGGGTTTGACCCGCCCCCCCCGGCCTGCCCCGCAGCTGCAGGTCCGGGTCATACCCCTAATAGTAGGGGGTTTCAAGTTTGGATTTTTTTGCGTATTTTTTCAAAATTTGGACAAGTTGTTCATAAAACTAATTGTCGTAAAACCAACATGTCTATTATTAGGCGATTTCAAGTAAGGATATTTTTGTCAAAATTTTTATATGAAACAGACAAGTTTTCAGAATTTTACAGTGGTTTTTTCTGCAAGTATGCAGTCAACAGCATTTGGGACACCTAAAAAGGTGTCCCAAATTTTTGAAATTTACGTGAAAATTTACAGTCTTGGACACTTGTTGTACTGCAAAATACCGTAAATTTTTTGACTTGAAACTCCCTATTCAGGACACTTGAAAGGTGTTCTGCTTTAAAACTTTACGCATATTTTACAACAACAGGCAAGTTGTTGCAGCATAAAAATATGTAAAAACATTCAACTTGAAACCCCCTAGTATATGTAGTGTAGCTCCGGTTGCACCTGGTCATCCCGTAAGAGCCCAGGCCCAGGGTCATAGGCACTTGGATTTAGTTTTGAGTGATGTAAACTATGTTAATAATTTGATGAGGAAACAACCATAGGACTATAGAATGTTCTTATATACACACAACTTTCTAACTACATACACTCTTACATAAGTCTTGTCGTACCCTACCATGTCTATCTTTTATTTTTTGACTCACTTTCAGCACATCTTTGTTTGTAGGTCAGGTCGTTGTAGAATTGTTCTAGGATTTGTACAATTGCTTCTCTTTATCAAATCATTGAAGAAGGACTTCAATCATATTCTATGTGGAATCTCTGTCAAATACAGGAAGAACAGGACTTTGTTGGGGAGACTTTAGGCTGGTCCAAAGAACAAAGTCAACAAAAACCAGAAAACAACAATGGCCGTCCCCGGGATACCATCAACACTCTCATTTGCTCCAAAAAGCTTGGTCACCCAACTGGGTCTGCTAATGTCAACCATTATCCCCACTCTCCTTACCAATTGTATTCAGCAAGTAATGAGAATGACAAGCAAAACCATGTTGGGAGACAGCCTCTTTCAAAAGTATCTTTCCAGATTTTTTTCCTCTGTGGATGGAAGGCTCAAATTGGAAGGGTAAATATTACATCCAAACTCATTCAACACTTTTCCTCAAGAGCTTCAGCAGAGATGCATCAATCTTCTCACATGACATTGGTACTTTCTTGCGGCTTGAAGTCCTTGCAATCAGCAATTCAACGGATTACACCTGATTCTTTCATCACCAATCATTTTGGTTCTGCGGATGTTTTTATTGAACACCTTCTTATGTTAAAACATGATCAACCAACTTTACTGGGCGTCACTTCTATTATAGTCTGCAACTTGATCAGATTATGGAAGAATCAGTGGTGGCCAAGGTAGCTTTGGTGGAGGTTCAACAAGCATAGATTGCTTGCAAATTTTTCACCACTACCAAAATGGCCAGCCAGGCAAAACAAGCCCTTGCATCCACGTGCAAGTGTCTGCTCCTTATTGCAATTACTTATCTTCAATAACTCACGCTAACTGATGTGATTGTTATTTGTTCAGGTCCTCCAGTGTTGATGTCTATAGCGGTGATGATGTTCCCTTTGGGGAATACCGTCTAGATGATCCATCCTGTGCATTATGACAAGGATCAAAACCCAAATGTGTATCTGATTGATTTGATTTTAAGTCTTGGAAATTTATCATTGTTTGTATTGCATAATTAATAGTAAATAACGTGCCTATCCTCTTTCTTCAAGATGCTTATGAATGGGATGATATGGCCGAAGAGGCCTTTAAACATTTCTGATCATCAAAATCAAGCACAGCAAGAGGTTTGAGAAGAGAAGTCAATGTGTTCAATACTATTGGAGGCCCTCAAAAACACCAAGTGGGCAGATGCAGCATAAGATCCCCTTACCTTCAGCATTTTTATTGAATGTTTGGCTCCAGATTCTAGCCCTATTAAATCACCATTGCTGTCATCTCATAAAGATTTGGCAACTAGGAAAACTTTGAGGGGCAAGAAAGGTATGGTACAAGGTAACCATTTTGAAGAGATCTTACCACTTGCAATAGTGGTAAAAAAAGAGACCAGGTTAAAGGATGAGTCTAAGCCTAAGCCCAAGGGGAGGAAGAAAAAGGTTACAAAACTTGAGTTAATTGTCATTTCTTCATTCAATATGTACTGATGATCATGATTGCAAAGGTAAGTGGGAGTCATCAAAATTTCCTTCCGTCTCTGTTCTATCTTTTCTTTGTATTGCGTGTTGTGAGTTTTATGGCGGCCTTGATGAAATACACAGCGGCCAATTAAGTGGTGGACATCTTGTTGTGCTCAGTAGATAATTACTGTGAAGAAAAGAGAACAGAACAAAAGAGTGAAATGGCTATAGGAAACCTCAATGTGTTTCAAATGTTTCACTTTGATTTTTTTGCCTAAGGCATTCTGTGTAAAGAAAGACATTCTGTGTAGATTGTATTTCTCCAGATTTGTTTTCAAAATAGGCACTCCAGCCCCTTGCACTGCTGTTTGAGTGTACAGTGGGATTCCTTTTTAAGCATTGCCTTTACAAGCATATTTTTTGATAAGCATCAAAAATGATGTGACCATTTTTGGTGGGCAGTAAATTCGGATTTATAAGCATTTTAAGCATATGCTTCAGGTTTTGACTGATATGCTTGTATAATTTCATGTGAAGCATGAAAAAAGAAGCATAACATGATTTTTTCACGTGTTTATGCTTCTATGTGATGCAAGAAAGGAGAAGAAAGGTAGGTGAAGTGGAGTAAATTAGGCTGCATTGAGTAGAAAAGCCAAGATCAATTGAAAAACTGTCTGTCAATTTTTGCTTCTAGGTTTCTGTAGTACATATTTTTCAATAGTTGCAAGTGCCAAGCATGACATTCAAGCATAGCATAATTTTGAGCACGTTTTATGCTCCTATAGGCTATTAGGTCTGTTCCGATAAGAAGCATTTTTTATATTAGCATGGGATTTGGTGCAACCATCACCATGCTTATAAAGGAATCTCACTGTAATGGGTTTGGAGTGCAAAAGTGAAGTTTTGCCACAGAAAATGCATTTTTGCACCTATTATTTTTGCACCCAATTGGCAGTGTGAAGATATCAGGTGCATAAATGTATGTATTGCATGTGTATTCACAATTTTGAACTTGTCCATTTACACTTGGATTTTCTACACATGAAAATTTAGTTCGTACACCACACAGACGCTTTTGAGCGGAGGGATGTCGGGATTGTCCAATATTGTATGCTTCTGTTGGTACCCCCGTTTGGGCTGTCCCCTGGATGTCAGTGCGTGTGGACGTCCGCAGCACACACTCAGGATGCCTGGCTGGGACTACATTTAAATAAAAACACCCTTGGAAGCCCGTGGGATGTCCCAAATTTTGATTGTGACCCGGGCTCCTTGGATCAGTTTTGTCAGGATGCCCCTTCCCCTGGAAAAAATCAGGTTGTCCCTAGGACATATGTGTGTCCTTGTGGTGTATTCAGTGCAAAACTGTAAATCACCACATGTCACATTCATTTTTACACTCAATGGATTTCACACATCAGATTGAGTGTAAAAGGTCAAGTGTAAAGATCTCTCATCGTTCGTTCTCGTTTGTTTAGTTTCAATTTCTTTCTTGAAACTTGTATGTTCCTCTGTGACTAAGTAAGACATAAAACACTTGATGTTGAACTTGGCAATTGCACATAATGCAGTTGGCAGTATCACTCATTTAAAATTTTCTTGAAGAGTGTGAAGAAACTCTCAAGACAAGGGACTATGAATGTGAAATTGAGATCTGAAATTGAGATCTGAAAGAGCTGGCTGAGAAGAGCAGCCTGTGAAACCTTAAAGCATGACCAGGCACTAATTCTTAGCTAATCTTTAAAAGGAGACTATACCAGCTTCAATGCAAACAACAGAGCACACAAGCACTCTGAAGTTCAAGGACTTGCATTGAATCCTTTTCAAATACTTTCCTGATATCAAAACGGAAGTCGTAGGACTATACCACATAAGAAAGTAAGTACAGACAACTTGTCCTCCAAATTTCAAAATAGCTGATTTTTTGTGCTTGTTGGTTTCAACTTGGATGTTAATTAATGATATTTGGATTGGTCCATAAAACTACAAGCTTTGTAAAGCATGAGAGTACTCAGTACTAGATATGAGGACACAATAATGAGCAAAGTAAGTATATGATGGTACAAGAAAACAAACACAGATAAGAATGGATGAAGGAAAGAAACTCTAGTAAAGAGACATATTCTTATATAGTGGCAATCTTGTCAAAACCTCGTTCACTCAAAGAAATAAATAGATTAAAAGAAGTCAAAAGACAAGATTACATCATACTGACAATCAACTCTGACGTCATGACTAGAAAGAGAAATGAAAGAAGATAATTATCTCAATATGGTCTTCATCCTGCGGACTCTTTACATTGGTGATGTGAGGATTGAAATTGGCCAAGTAATCCTCCATGAGGACATTGTGCGCAGAGTGAGGATGAGTCAATGGCTTGGCAAGCAAGAATAGGGGTCTGAGATGGAAGATTTGCACAAGGGCTAGCATTTTCAACATTGGATTAGAATGGTGACATCTGTTTTGGGCAACTGCGTGGAATTATGTATGTCATGTCTCAAATGAGTGGACTGTGCACAAGTCCTAGTGGCTAATTGTAATCCACTAGAAAATTTTGTGACCCTTTGAATGCTCCTGTAACATTGATGGTCAATGGTATATTTACAATGTGGGCATGCTTACAAAGACCTGACAGGGTTCATGAAGATTTGTGCTGAAGCTACAACTTACTTGTGGCAACTCTTTGGTACGAGCAAACCTGTGTTCTGGTAACAGAGCAGCAAGGCTTGAGCATACAATCCTCTCTTGCTTCCCTTAAGCAGGGGAACTAGGCCAACAGGATATTGCCCCCAGCACAAGAAGTTGTATCTGAGTATAGTGCTTATTGCAAAAAACAAGGAGATGTAGAACAGGATTGTACCTCAAGTATTGAAACTTGAAGAGTGAGAAAAAACCATTGTTTGTTCCAAAAAGCTATAGACACAGAGTCCTCAATCCCACAATTCCAAAACCACTTTTGGAATCAAAAAGGTGATTTTGGTGGAGGGGATAGGTTTTGGAGATCTGGTTCAATTTCCTTGTTCTCAGGCATAAGCATTATAAACTTCATCAAAATGCAATCACAAATTGTATCAGCGCACTGATCCTGAAGTGCGCAGAACTCATTTTTTGATTACAGATGCAGAGACAACATCACGATCTCACCCGAAGCATAAATAGAAAGAGAGAAGAAATCAAGAGAGAGAAGATGACTTCAGGATCATCAAATCCCATAACACTCGGCTATAATTTGGATACTCCAGCATGATCAGAGCAGCAACTCAATAAGTCTACGTCTGGTACGTATTTTTGCAGAGCACGAATTGCCGGGTCGACATCATAAATACCCACCCCTGTTTCCATGAATGAATTTTAAGCTGTGTATGGCTAGCTCAAATCAAAGCTATCAGACAACTCACGTATGGTCTTGATCCCCAATGCTTGTGCGGCTTTGAGGTTCATGCTGTGTGCGGATTTGGAGGGATGTAAATAGACTCGGTCAGTTGACTCCAACTCTGTTATCATATTTCTGAAATTTGCGCCTTGAAGTGACATGAACAAAAGACAAGCCACTGACCCAATATCATCTAGAAAGACAGTTCTGTGTGGCTCCGCACCCAATCGATTCAAAGCATACTGAAAGAACTTCGGATCCGGTTTCCTACCCGTTGATAATAACACATTTGACAGGTACTCGAGAGCAATAGGACAAGACAGAGGTGAATCATGTATTTGCTCACCGCATTCCCACTTGGCTACTCTCAATGAAATCGTCAAACAGTTGCTTTATCTCTTTGGGCATGATACCTAGGGCCTCCGCGTCATCCTCTTTGACTCCCGGAGCCAGGTTGAAATTATTCGTCAGGGCTGCTACCTTGTAACTTCCTGAGCCTGGGTGTAGTGCAACAGATGATAAGGACGAGTTAGGCTTAGACAAACACTGAACAATAGACTTGCCATACATCACCTTTTAAACGTTTGATCACTTGGATAATGGGGGTATTGAAGGATGAAGCTTCGCCCATCATCATTCTCCACAGCTGTCCCATTTCGAGCATAAAAACAAAGATCAGCACCAGAAAGATGAAGTATCATCAATATTGCGGGGACATCTGATATCTGGCTTACCTCTTTTCCATCTACTGGAGCCTGAACGGGCAAAGGCGGAACAGCTACAGAGATTATCCTTGAGTCATTATCGACTCCTATAACCCTTCTTCAAAAGTTGTTGGACGAGATTTCCAACTCGAATGGTCAAGAAACGAGGGCAGCTCCTTGCGACTCACATTTTGAGGTGCGTAGACAATGTTGCTGATATGCACTATTATTGAACTTTGTGTCGCTCATCTCTTGACCGAACTGCCAACATCCTTTAGCTCATTGTGATTATTCTCCAACGATGAAGGTAGCAAGCACATCAAGCACCGAAAATCTGGCCAACCTGAGAGTAGAACTCCGGTAACTGAATCCGACCTGTCTCTAGTAGTTGAAATGCTCCTTCGGGACCTCGTGCAGTCATCGCTACGTTCAGATAGTCATGAGGTAATGCGTTCTGCTTCTCAAATTTCGCTATTCCAATCCTACGATTCGAAAGCAGATCAAAATATTGGTCCAATTCCCGTTGAGCAAGATGATAGTTTCAAGTACCCCATTAATGACTTGGATTGAGCATTCGCGGTGAACTACGACCCACAGTGGTGATTTTGCGACCACGCCTCCTGTCCATCGTTCAAAGGGGAATTGATAAGCAACGTGCAACAAAGTTTAATAAGTCGGTATGATCATGTATCATCGCCACAACTATGATGGATGAAGCTATTGACGACCAACCAATGTCGAAGATGACGACCCTGATATCGTTAGAATCCGCCATTGACGTTTGGTTTGGGGGCTCATCCCCTGCATTCGGTGCAATGATTAGATCTGATTTGCATGGTAAACAGCGAGTCCGGTACCGATGACGTCATGTATGCGGAGCATAACGCGAAAATCCATTTTGCCCCCAAATATGGGAAGTTTTGCAATCATTCAAGCTTCAAGTCGACATTCCAAGGCTTGCGTATTCTAAGATGAAGCGCTTTTCAGACAAGAAAAAACTCTGGCAAAGGTTTGTAGCTGGATGTTTCGTGGCATTTTCAACACGGCTTTTAGAAAACCGCACACTCTTGCGACGAAAAATGGCAAACCTTCCTATCAAACCTACGATTCTGGGATCACTCAGTCTCGCGTAATTCTTGATCTCAACAAAAATCAAGCGAAGAAACAAACAAATCAACGTGTTTATCGATGATCACATTTTTAGCTGAGAACATCACACTAAATCACTAGTGATACAAGAAGACAAAATGAGGAAACTAGAAAAGATAATTCCGGACATGAAAATGGAATACTAGTAGACCTTTCTACCCAGAAATTCAAGAGAACCACGTGTTGAACTTGATTACACTCTTAAACTTGACAAAATAGTAGTACTTCATGACGGTCTCTTCTTCTGAAGCTTGGAGGGACGGCGCTTAGCTTCAATTTGTTTTTCCTTGCCATTCTCACTTTCAGGTAGAGCCTGAGGTTTAGGAGGATCTACATAAGCAGCCATATTGTCCTTTGCTTCTTTTCGTTTGATTGTAGGCCACGGGATTTTCGTAGGGAACGGGATGGTTGATTCGTTTGTAGCAAAGGGCGGATTCGAACCTTTTTCTGAATCACCATAGAGGTATAATCGACGTTCTTTGGCACCCGATTTATGAGGTTCCAAAGTCGGTGTGAAATCAACAAGGGTTCTATTGTTGGTTGTTCGGACCTGGGTAGAACTTCCAGCACGTAAGGCTTGATATTGAAGCCTGGGTGCAGCTGGTGCAGGTGATGAACTTGAAGGTCTTGGAGAATGAGCATTGGAATCAAGGAATGCGTCATGTAGTCTACGTTTGGCAGCTATCGAGAATCAAAACACAATGGATCTTATAAGTAAAGATCAAAGGAGAGTATATCGCGAAACTTACGATCATGGAGAATTTCAAACGCATTCTTGACCCTTCTGTAATGCGCTCGGTCCTGGGATGAGCCCTCTCGGTTGAGCATGAGACGATGAACTAGAAAACTATGTAAAATTGCGTCTTGATTGTCATGACGTTTGACACCAAGAATATCATAACAGGACTCTCTCATTTTCTCGTAGAGATTGTGATGATAGATAAGGAGTTACTTTTCGGATAGACTTGTGGATGGAGATTGACGAAGAATTTACCAAGGATTGTAGAAGAGCTTGCGTTTTTATACTCTTCAATTGACAAAGCCTGAAGTCATTCTTGAACTTATCGACATGACCTCGCGATTTCAACCCTTTAGCCCTCAACCCGAAAGTGTTTCTGATTTCTTCTGATCAGACCAGAACAACTTTATCAACCTTTTACGTGGTCAAGGCACTTTGTCTTTTAGCTCAAGTGAAATCTTTCAAGAATCAGTCCAAAGAAAAACCTTTGGACTTGATCAAAATCTTATGAAAGACATCGCTAGTGTGTTGTTTTGTGCGGAAAGAAGCCTGGTCAGCAGGAAGATCATTCGCATGGTTATGGTTTCTTCTCCTCGCGCAAAAGACTCTTGTCACTAAATGATCGGAGTGAAGGGTGGCTAGTACCCCAACTGCGAGGAAATTTGTTTTTAATACATCCGTGAGCTCGTCACTAGATCAATCCGTGTGAGCATGCCATGGAGTAAAATTTATCTCGGCGTTGTGTACTTCCTTGACGTAATTGTCTCCATCAATCACACACTTAAAATATATACGCTGAGCCCGATCAACATACCAGAGAAGATCATGTCACATGAGACATCCAGTTGCTTTACCCTCGGAGAAATCATGGTGCAAGACCCACACAAAAGTTAGATCAAGTGGACATCGCCATTGAGCCTCTTTTGACGCCAAAAAAAGACTGCTGAGCTCCATTCTCGAAATCCTCAGCATCGTGAGAACATAATTCCTAGCTATTTATCTCCTTTCCACCGTCTCTGAACATTCCATCTCTCGTAGCAGTGCTTCTGTGCTTATGTCTTAGTAGAACAATACTGCCACATGTTTGTCTCCACTTGAGGCTCTTTTAGGATGTAATTAGGTTATTTAAGTCAATTTTGATTGCAGGCCCCCAATTGTAAGGTGTACCATAGAAAAAGATTCAATGAGATATTTATGTACCAGCATATTGTTGAATACTGACGGAATCTGATTTGGTTACGCTATATTCATTTTGTTTTGAAGGTTTTTGACATACACCTGTTTATGAATTGCATAACACTTTACCACCTATATCTTTCAAGCTTGTGAAAAGGTGCATCATAACCATTGGCCCCATGACAATCTTGTGCAATAATGTGGAAGGGAGTTGCAACACCACCACCGCCCCGCTCCGCTCCGCTATAACCACAGTTTTTACGAGCGGAGCGATTTAGCGCTAATATAAAAGCGCAATCACTACGCTATAATTTTATGGTCGCTATGGCCATTCAGAGCGGGGCGGCTCTTCCGCTCCGCTATAGACAAATCTCACACTGAATATCGCCTAATAGCGCGGTCCAAGGGTTTTTTTACCCAGTTTTGATTATACAAGCTAACAGATGTATCAATAATCTAATCGCAGAGAAGAATACAAACATTGTCTTGTATATGTTGAGACCAAATTGGGTGCAAATTTGAAAGATAGTAAAAAGAATTGTTTTATAAAACATATGAGTGTATTTTAACCACATATCCGGTCTCATCTTTGACGATGAAGACGCAGACAGACTTGAAGAAGAAAGCCGATCAGCAATCAGCAATCTCACCTTCCAGCCCTCTTCTCCCTTGGATTTGAGTTACATGCCTGGTGCTATATTCCATTCCTTTCGGAACCGTGCTGTGGGTGATAAGTTCAGTGCAATATTGCTAGAAGCTCTAGATTCAGAAGGTCGCACACCAGAACTTGAAGACCGGGCTAAAAATGAGCGGCGCAAGGTTCGGTTCTCGTATATTTGCTCCGAGATCATCGCATCCGATATTTGGAACCACACCTTTCAAACTTTTGCTCAGGTATTGTGTGTGGCGGAGAAACCCTCGATAGCTCAAGCAATCACAGAGATAATCGATTTCAAATCGTGAGAACAATCTGGTCAACACCTCACCCGTCCGAACTTGTCAGGAAGATGCCCAAGGGAAGCACTTGAACTGACATTTGAGAAACTGCAACACATTCTTCTTTTGTGTGGGTCATCAAAAGCGACAATCACCAAATAGATATGTCAAAAACTTTGACTTCACTTATTGTCTTCTTCCTTCGACTCAGCAAATCAGCTTTACCGCCACTTCGCTCTTGGGCCATTTAACTCAGTCTTACTTCGATGCACATCACAAAAAATGGTCAAATTGTGACCCGTTTGCCTCGTTCGACATGCCAATCAAGCGTTTTGTCACCCCTGTGCGTGAAATGGATCACGCGCCTTCCGTGGTCCTCATGATCAGTACTGACCATCTCGAATTCAAGAGAATAAAGGTATTGAACATAATCTGCAGGCCGAAGCTCAAGGATCCGATCGATCGATGATATAGACAGATTGTGATAGAGAAGGCGAGCACATCGGTTCTGAGATCAAGTCCGTATGTCTGAAGGCCAACCGGAACATTACTGTCTCTTGGGCTCGCTTCAGTGTGATCATCCCTGCGTGCGTATCAAGTTTCCCCTTTACAAGGCTTCACTGTCAATTGAAATGAAGGTTGCTGGTAGCTACATATGAGGCGCTATAGGGCGCTCTGCTGTGCTCTGTCGCTAAGCGCTCGCAGCCGCTGTGGCGGCTCATAGCACAGCGGGAGATCGCTATACAGAGCGGATATCCAAACCGCTATACTTATTTGGGTTTCACCATAGCTATAGCAGTGCGTGAAACCCGCTATATCTGAAAAGGGCTAGCGCGGGCGGAGCGCGCGCTCCGCTACCGCCGCGCTCACGCTATCCCAGGCGGAGCGCCGGTGGTGTTGGGAGTTGGAAGGGCTTTACTCATCCTGAAACAAAAGCTCAAGGACAAGAAGCTGAAGCCAAAGGTGGTTGAGTACTTGTTTGTGAAGAGATCCTGGTAGATCATAAGCATAAGGAAGAGGCTCAAGCAGCTTACCTGGTATACAGATTGGCATATGGATCAGTTTTCCTTTCTTCTTTGAAACCAATAAGTGGTGTTGTTTTACTTCACTCAGCGGACGCAAGCCTGTCATTGGTGATTTTACAAAGGGGAGTACAAGGAGAAGACTCTTTGGTGTGTGGTAGATGAAAAATTAGAGTTCTTACAGATCAATCAAGAATATATCAATATGTGAGTTCTTATTCTGATATAATCATCATACTATTATTAACCAACTTTCAACATGCGATAGGTTTGCCATCCTGTGTCTGGCCAAAGACTTTGATTTGTTCAAGGGGCACAAGACTTCAGAAGAGCTAATACCCCTGACCTCCTTCCCAATCCCTGACAATACTGGTATTTGCAGGATAATGTGCAACCTCGATGAAACCTGGGGCCAAGATGTTCTGGAAGAAGAAGCGCTTCATGATTGAGCAGTTACAGTTAGCTATCATGAGCAAAGTTATTCCTTTCACATCCACTAGTTTTTCTATTACAAGCTTGATATTATATTTGCATGTTGCACAGCCTGGTGCTATTGTTTTCACGTATGACCTTGTTATTTTAATTTCCCAGCAGTCCCTCTGTCATGTTTATGTTTGTTATCTTGTTTTGTGTAAGGAACGGCCTAGCGCCAGCTATTGTTTAGTTGTTTCTTCCATATCCAAAGCAAGACCTAGAGCAAGCGCGAGAGCTATTCGAAGCAATGCTCATTACAAAAACAGCAGCAGAAGATGGGGTCCTAATCCGCTGTTCAACCACTGAGAAGGGGTTTCCCAACTATGTACATAAGTTTGAAAGATCAGTTTCAAATCTGATCAGAGGAGTCAAGTTCGCACCCGGTTTCTCGTCACCTAAAAATCGGTTTGTTGACCGGTCTTGAGTACCGGTAGATAAACCGATGATGGTGGGTTATCTCCTTTCAGAGGTCACCCACTTGTCGGTGAAATTTGGTCAAGAATCCCCTTTTTGAATTTGGTCAACTACAGATGACCAAGAATCCCCCAATCCCTCACCTTCTTCTTCACCCACATCTGCAGGTGGATTCCAGGGTCCTTGCTTTGTTTGTGCTTGACGTAATTTTCAAAGGTAAGTTTGTAAGTTAACTCGCTTGGTTGGATTCTGATTCTGAAGCTTGAGTGGTTGATTTGATTCTCGTTTTCTAGATTGAGTTTTTCCAAAAAACTTCCTATTTTGTAATCAGTTTTGGTTCAAGTTCGTTTATAGAATACCAACTTTCAATTAATCTTTAATAATCTCATTTAACTACATCTCTCAAACTCTGAAGCATCGGTCAACAGACATGAGTTCTTATTATCAAATACTTAATCTTCATCCTTTATCAACTTCATCTGACATTGAAAAAGCATACAAAAAACAGGTGACTCAATTCTATTTGATCCAAACAAGAAGCTTTTCAGAGATCTGATTTCTTTTTCTTTTCGTATAGGCACTTCTGCATCACCCTGATCGAAATCGTGATGGCGATCAACAACTGGCTACGGAGAGATTTCAAAGGATCTCAGAAGCTTATCAAACTCTTAAAGATCGTAAGTATCGAAATCTTATGAATCATAGGTTGTTCGATTGGACACTGACAGACCATCCTCAATCATTTAGCCATCAGGAGAATGAAATACGATGCTAAATTCGCCACTCGATCAAGGAGTGAGAATACCTACTTTAGCACTAGTAATCCACGTCATTCTGCACCAGTACCCTCTTTCAAACCAACTAGATCAACTTCAACTCCAGCTTATGATCCTTCTAGACCATCAAGATACTCAGCAGCTCCTCCTCCTACTTCATCCAAGAAACCAACTCCACAAGCTTCCACACATGAATATACACCTCAGCCTAGCCGATCACAAACAAGACCTAGTAGTAGACCTAAGCCTACTTTTGCGGCATCTTTCGATTTACCTAGGACTAGTGCAAGTAAAGCTCAACAGGCACCACCTTTTGAATTCTTCACCCAACCTCAAAATTCATCATCTTTCGAGTTCCCTTCGACTCCCATACCACGTTCAAAGCCAACCCCTGCACCCGATTTTCCATCTACCACTACAACAACCACAACAACACTTCCGTCTCATAGAACTCCACTTTCCTCGGCTTATACCAAAACGCCAAGTGCTTCCAATAGACCAGCAAAACAAGCCAACACATTCTATGCCAACAAATCACGTGCTTCATCCAAACCTATCCCAAAGGAAACCACGGGTTCTTCATTCTTTGATATCTTTTCAAGTAAAGGATCACATTCTTCTAAACCTACCGAAAGCCGTTCTTCCACTTCGAAACCGACATTTTCAAAAAGTCCGGATGATCCTGATTTTCTTGCATCAGCTTTCGCACATCTCTTATCTAAGTCTGTACCTGATCCTCATCCAATTAAACCGATCATACCAGAATGTTTTAGAGAAACTTATCCTAAATTCACTTCACCGAGTTATCATCAAGATCAATTTTCTAGAACATCACACAAACGTGAAGAATTTAGAACAAGACCTGATTATCCAGTTCATCAATCATACCAAAAGAAACAAGATGATTTTTCACAATATATTCCTAGTAAACCTAGACCAAGATCTTATTCCAACACACCCAACGATTCATTACATCAGTGGAGAAAAGAAGTAGCATCTAATACAATGAAATATCCTAAAGTTGAACCCTTATCAATGGATGATACCAGCTCAGAGGGAGAAGAGTTATATGGAGTAAACTGGCCACCCATCAAATCTAAATCAAGATCAAACCCTTCAAAAGATCAAGAAAGTGATCTAAGAGAAGATCGATATGAATCATTATTTAGAAAAGTCGATCCAAATCATAATCAACATTTATTTGAACCTAAACATCATCAGGCTCATCATCAAAGGAATCCTAGTGAAAATTTTCCTCGGAGAAGAAGAACTTATTCTGCTTCTGAAAGTGTTTCGGTACATTTCACTCATAAACAAGATCACAATCCTAATCATCGTCATCATGATGATGTAGACAAAAATAGGTATGGGAATCAAGAATGGGTAAGAAAAGAAGTTCGAACGTTTATGGTACAGAATCATTGGTGATTCAAATCAAAGGGTATCATGGGGGATATTTTCTGTGTTTCTCTCTTTGTGAATTCTTTTGGGGTTTTTGCTTGACTTTAGCCCCCTTTCTTTCTTCCTTTGGTGCTGATCAACTTGATTATATTTTCTTCTTCTTGATGAATCAAACCTTAAATGCAAAACATTTTCTTGATTAATTTTCAAATCTTAATAAACCATATTTCCTTTGTTCTTTTTGTCACCTTTTAAGAACAATCGAAATCACAAAAGTTACATAAAATCTTCTTGTTCTTTCTATTTGTTCAATATATTCATTCTTCTCAATCCAAGTGAAAAAAACTCACTAGTTCTTTTCATATACATATCTTCTTTTATGTTTTTACCCACTATCACATAGTGTGAAACTTCATATCCTTAGTTTTTTTTTGAGAAAAACAAGTCTTTTAACCAATTTTATGCACAATTATTTTCTTTTTTTTGGCTTTTTTTTTGAAATGTATCATAAAGAAAGATAGATATTCAAATGAGTAAGTTTAACCCTATGATTTTATCATTCAATTGAGATTCATAGGTTCTCAGTCTTTGATAAATTGTTTTTAAAATTCCTCGGGTCGGATAATTTTCCTTTGGTATGTGGGCTTTCGTATTGACCGTGACGTCATATATATATGCTGTTTACCATCACTTTACTTCACTTTACCAACTTTGGTCTCGTTATGGATATCTCATTGATCTCATCTTATTAATTTCCGATGCCATTATCCTATTGTTTTTCTTTCTTCCCCTCCCTTTTTTTGAAATTCTTTGGTTCGTTCTAGTTAATTGATTGTTTTCGATATCTCATTCGATTTTTTTATGTTTATTTCTTAGTTTGGCCCATAAATTATTATTATTATCATATAAAGAAAGTGTTGATCATGACTACTTTTTCCTGTGGGAATCATATGATAGTCTATCGTATAATTTGTTCAGTCAAGTTTCGTTGATTCCTGAACGATTTCAATCCGTTTTGAACTGTTTAGGTTGTTTATCTGAGTCTTAAGCAGAGTATCATAAGATTCAAACCCTACCAAAAAAAGCTGAGGGAGCCGATGTGGTTCTTGAAATTTAGGTGATAGAAAAACACCCGATTGCGAATAAGAAAAGAAATTTTGACGACTATGTTAAAGAGATTGATTTTATGGGATTTTTCTAAGAATGTTCAACTTCCTTTGACGAATAAGAAATTTCGAATCCAGAATCACACATTCAGTTAATTCTTTGGATCACCATTTATTTTTAAAGATTTCCTTGTTTACTTTTCATCAAAACCTAATCAAATGGAAAATTCCAATGATCCTAATTTGTGCGCCAAAAAATTCAACAAAGAAGTCAGGTTCGGATGAGGTTATAAACTGTGCTCAGTAACTGATATGGTATCAATGATCTTTCGGATTATAGAAATGAACAGTTCGGATGCCTTCCTCAGTAAGCTTAGGCAATGCTCCCACAAAAACAGATTAGAGACTGGATACTCATCACTTCACTAAGCATTCAAGAAATATTTGATTCCAAAAAGATGTGGGTGATTGTGAACATCCTTATCACCATCATTACCTCATCCAATTTTCCTGAATCCGAGAACTCGTATACCGACTTTTGTCTTATTATTATCAATCGAACCTATACGCCGTACCAAGGGATCCAAGCTGTATCCGATAATCTAAAGAAGCTCAATATTATAACCATCCGGTATCTTCCGCCTCGAAACATCTTGAAAGATATAAAACATTTTCCTAAGGTGATTGGGATGGATAAGAAGAATCCTACTCAATCGGAAGAGCGAAGACAAAGCTCGATAGTAGATAGCGACATAATTCCTCACACCATAGAAATTGTTGAAGGCAAAAACCATAAAGCTTGGAACAGATTGAAAGCCATGAGTTGGAGATTCACAAGTTGGCTTGAAACACATACATCTTTAGTCAACATGATAATGTTCTTTATGTTAGGTACAAACTTTGGACCTGAGTTGGTTTATCGAGAATATTTCTTTTCACAATTCTCAACCAATAATAATCTAAATGTTCAATCAGCTGGTAGTATTTTAACTCAAGCTCCTTTACCTGAACATCTTGATCCTCAACTTTATCGAGCCAGTTGGTCAAACTCAGAAACAAATATAAGTCCCATTGAATTTGATGTGATTGAACCTCTTGATGATCAAAATGGAAAAGGAATCGGTTGGACCATCGTTTTTATACATGGACTTGGATCTCCAAACTCATCACACGGATATCAATGGAGAGAATACTTATTATCTACAATCTATAGACCACCTAATTCTAAAAAGATTGGAAACTTAACTGGCCTTCGATTTATCTTACCTAAAGCTCCTATCATTCCGATCACAGTTTATTCAGATCAACCTAACCAAGGTAAAAGACCTGGTTGGTTTGATATAAAAGATTGGAGAGATTTAAATTATCTTGAAGATGAAGAAGCTTTAAGGAAAAGTTGTGTTCAGATCTCTGATGTGATTTCTAATCAGATTAGAGAATCAAAGATGGAAATGAAAAAAACTATTATTGCTGGGTTTAGTCAAGGTATGTGTCAATTTTCTGTTTCGAATGAAGACTTTTCTGGTACATAAATTTAGGTGTATCCTAATGTGAAATCTTTTTTGAAAACAAAAAAAATGATAGGTGCGGTGATGTCCTTACTTACTACCTTGGCATTGTTTGAGCCTCCTGCTGCAACACTGATGCTGGTATGTGATTGTCTCTTCCAAAACCTAAAACCTGAATAAAATCTAACATTTCTTTTTTCTCAAGTCAGGATACCTACCTCTACCATTCAAACTACCATTACTTTTATCTCCAAATCCTGAATTCTATAGATCAACCTCATTATATTGGATACATGGAACAGAAGACAATGTATTAAATTACAATTCAGCTAAATCAGGATTTAACTTATTACAAAGAATCACCCGAGAAGGATTTAATAGATCGAAATTCAAAACGATCTATGGATTAGAACATGGCTTTTCAGAACACGAAAAGATTGTGGTGGTTAATTGGATAGAAAGAATCGTGGTTTATCAGAGTGATGGGGAATTTGATGAATTATTGGATAATTTAATTCAACCTGAAAATTCGATTGATGATCCTATTGAGAAACGGTTGTTCACTTCTTACACTAGTAACCATCCAGTCTTTCCGCTTTGAGCGTTTCTTCTTTATCTTTCTATCGTTTCCTTCTTTTTCTTTATTTGTTTAGACTAATCCCAATGCGCTGAATGAGAGTCACAATTATCTTACGATTTGTTAACCTATGTCTAGAGAAATCAGCCTATAAAATGACTCGACTATGTTTGTAGTAGCTTTTTTTTCACTCAATCATTGTCTCGTCTTTTTCTCTTGCACCTATCCACAGGTGCCTTATTTCTCTCATCACTCATTAGTGATCTTGGCCTCATAGCGCCCTCACTCACTAATTGTTGTGATTCTTCAGGTCTGCATAATTGTTTCTCAAACTTACTACTAATGATCTTGCTTATAATATAACACTCAATCATTGTCTCGTCTTTTTCTCTCGCACCTATCCACAGGTGCCTTATTTCTCTCATCACTCATTAGTGATCTTGGCCTCATAGCGCCCTCACTCACTAATTGTCGTGATTCTTCAGACACCTGTCTCTTCCTTCATTAGGTTATGAGCCCAGCCAACACATCTTAAACAGATTCAGCGCTATCAACTCACATGAGTGCCAAAGCCGACACTCCCAGTTCAACTGGCAACGCTGGTCCCCCCTGATGCTGGCGCATTTCATGGAATGGGACCTCAATGCCATTGTTGACGGCACCAAAACTGCTCCTGAAGACAATGCTACTGCTGAGGTAAAACTTGCTTTCCTCAAATGACAAAAGAAGGCAGCGGGTTTTATTTCTTGTAAACTCAGCCCTGAGAACCAAGCCTTGGTGATCAATTCCACTAAGATCAAAGATCCCCATGCTATTTGGGCAGCTTTGGGTAAACTCTATGCATCTAACAAAGCCCGCAACCAAGCTCGTATCCTTTGGAAATTTCTTAATCTTAAATGTTCCAATAACTCTCTTGAATCGTTCCTCACTGAATATAGAAGAATCACTCACTAGATGACTGAAGTCTCATTTAAAATCGTCAACGACATCTTAGCTCATATGCTTCTTTCCAAACTTTCATCTTGTTATCATCCCACTCGTGATCTTCTTTCTCATACTGCTGAGACATACAACACTCTTCTTACTCTTGACCAAGTCTTCAAGCATTTATAACAACTTGTACTTGACAATAAATCCAGTACCCCTTCCACCTCTGTTCCTGCTGCTTTAAATGCCGAACGACAATCTACTCCCACGTACAAACATTGTCTCAACCGTGTTCACAACCCATTAACTGCACACACAGAAGCCCAATGTTTTCAATTACATCCCAAGTTAAAAACCGTTCAATCCAATTGCAACTCTAATTGTGGCACCGCCAACACAACCATCAGCGTTACGGTTCTCACTACCTACGTCTTCAATGCCACTCTTACCGGTAAACCTGTTCTTGACTCTGGAGCTTCCCAATCTATGTTCAGCCTACGATCTAGCTTTGTTAGTTATCGACCTTGCCACGCCACCAATAATGTCGCCAACGGTCAACAAATCAATGCCGTTGGAGTTGGAACCATTAGTGGAACCCATAATGGCAAAACCATCTCCATTACCAACTGCCTTCACGTTCCCCAGCTTCAAACAAATCTTGTCAGCATGGTGGCTCTTGTCCGAAAAGGTTGCTCATTTGCTTTTACTCCAAACGCTAGTTTCAATGTGCTTCTTGAATCTAATGTGGTTCTTACTGGAGATACCAAAAGTGGAGTTATGGAGATTAATTTAAGTTTAGGCAAGTCATCACTACACTCACTCGCCACAACCAACACCACTAACTCAGTCACTCTTCACAGACGCTTAGGGCGCGTTCACTCAAGCAATTTCTGGGGAGAAATCACATTCTGCAAAATTTAAAGTGTCTATTTGGTGGAGCATGTTTCTTTTTTGGATTAAAAAATTCACAGAATGTGATTTCTGGTCAGAGATTCCTTAAGTGAACGCACCCTAAGGCCATCCTGGACAAATCCCTTTTGAAAAAGCCTTCCCTGGTGTTAAATTCTCTGATTCTTGTGAACCTTGTGTGCTCTCCAAACATCACCGTCTTCCTTTCAAAGGCCATCTTCCCACTGCCTGTGCTCTATTATCTGTACTACATAGTGATCTGAGTGGCTTAATTTCTCCTGTTTCTCTTGGAGGCGGAAAGTACTACTTTAAAAATCAATTCTCCAATTTCAAATTTGTCTACATTCTGAAATCCAAATGTCAAACTTTTTCATCTTTTGTTCAATAAAGCGCTCATTGTAAATCAAACCAATTTGAAAATCAAAACAATGATCAATGACAACGGAGGAGAGTACACTTCCAACCAATTTTCTGAATTTCTTAAGAATGAAGGCATTAAGATGGACTTTACCGCACCTTAAACCCCTAAGCAAAATCCAATTTCAGAAAGAGGCATCAGGACAACATCAGAAAGAGCCCGAGCTTTAATTAAACAAGCTAGTCTACCACTTGAGTTTTGGGCAGAAGCTGTTTCCACAACTGTTTATCTTGAGAACCTTACCCCTATTGCTTGGGATAAGTTCATTACTCCTTATGAATATTGGTTTGGAAAAGCCTCATCTTATTCTCATCTTTGTGTTTTTGGGTGCTTGGCTTTTACGTTCATGTTGGGAAAGAACAAAGAGCGAGCAAGTTCTCTGATGTTGCTAAGAAAGGAGTGCTTTTAGGGTATCAAGGTAGCATGCACAACTACCGTGTCTGGTTGCTTGACAAGCAACGTGTTGTGTACAGCCATGATGTGGTGTTCAATGAAGAAATTTTTCCTTTTTCTGACCCCTCAGTTCAAGCTCATTTTTATGATAAATTTGGTTCCAATCCCTCGGACACCCTGGAAGAAGATGAAGAAGAAGAATTTGCTCAGCCAGAAGAATTAACTCCTCCTTCACCTATTCACCCTCTCAGCTATGATGAAGATCTCACCATTTCAAATGATTCCACTATTTCAAATCAAGTTTCCTCTTGTACCTCCTTCTTGAGATGAGTATCCTTGCAGTCCTACTCCAGAACCTCCTTGTGATCCTACTCCTGAACCACCCAGGGACACAACTCCTATTCCTGAGCCTGAACCACCCTCCAATCCGGCTTCTCAACCTTCCTATGAAATAATTCCTGCCTCAATCCCCGCTCCAAAAGCCATCTCCAGTTTGATTGATGCCTTCAACATCATCACTCACCGACAATGAGCAAATATCGCTCGCAGTCATCCATTCAAACCTCAATCTTACCGCCAAGCTATGTCTAGACCTGATTCCAAATCCTGGGAGATAGCTATTCAGAAGGAGCTATCAGCTCTGATTGGCTGGGAGTGTTCACCAAAATGGAACTACCTCCAGGTGCTCATGCCATAGGAACAACTTGGGCCTTTTGACTCAAGACTGACGAAAACAACGTTGTCATCAAGCACAAGGCACACTTATGTGCTCAGGGGTTTTCTCAGATACCTGGGCTCAACTACAATGAGACGTATGCCCCAACGGGTCAAGCTGCAAGCATGAGATTGGCAATTAGCGTATGTGGTACTGAGGATCTTGAAATTTGGCTCATGGATGCAGTTGGTGCTTTCTTGAATGGTGTTCCCAAAGAAGTGCTTTACATCAAGATACCTCAAGGATACACACCTAAACTGACCGGCAAACATATTGTCCTTCTCTTAAATCGTTCACTGTATGGCTTGAAACAGTCACCACGTTGTTGGTACAACATGGTCAAAGCATTTTTTTCTACTATCAATTTCTCTCCTTCTCAATTTGATCCCTGCTTGTTTATTTCCCATTACTACAACATAAGTTAAAGACTCTTGCTTTGAAAATCTCTTTAGATCATCATCCAAACGGATCAGAAAGTTTAACAAAATCTAACATAAATGGACAAAAGATCAGAACAATATAATCATCAAGATTCAAAATTTTGAAAAGATCCAGGTTTTTGGCCATTTTTACTGAAGGCTTAGAAAGCTTGACAGTTTCTTTTTGATTTCTGAATCTTTTTCCTTTGTACTCTAGACCTGATTAATATGTATTTCTCTTAACCTCTTCTTTTATCAAAGCAAATCAAAGTGATAGATCGTAGCAACCTAACATATAAGTGAGATGTATTTAAATTAATAGAATTGTATGTTTTAGATTCCAGAAATATATGCTGTTTTTTGATTGTAGAGAGCCTTGGGTTTGCAATAGACCAAGTCGAGGCGTACCAGATGAATCAAATGGCGAAGTACAATTGCCGTTGGTGAAATTAGCATTCATTCCGGTGAAGTACACCATTCGCATTGGTACAGACCAGCACAGACCCGATTCCGCTGAGGCAGTTATTTGAATAGAGTCAAAGTTTACAGATGGCGTTTTAGCAATTCCATTTGGATTGAAAAATGATGAGAGCAGCTGAGTTGTTCGAACAAGACTTTATAGCTAAGAACCTCCGATAAACTTGCGTCTATGAAAATAGAAGATTAATCGAGTTTTCAACCCAACTCCAAACCAATCATCATGCCTTCTCGCATTTTGGGATGCATGTTCATGGTGATCCTCATCTTCCTATCCTCAGGTTAGTACAGTTCGATTCACACCATATGAACATTTCTCTATTCTGATTCAATGGATTAATTTATACACCCAACACGTTAGCTGAAATTGTTTCAACTCGTCCTCACAAGTATTCTAGACGTCCATCTCGAGAAAAACCGTATGTGTCTTTAAACAAACCAAAACGATTGAAACAATGAAAAATATCAATCCATTTTTGATTCTACCCAAACCTTTCTCTTAGATCGACCAGCCCGAAAGACCACACTCACAGAAACTCAATCCCGTACGTCTTTTTGATCAAAAAGGAAGATCGAAACCATTTCCGTTCAGGAGAGAATCACTCAAAATCCGTTTTTCAATTTTCATAAATCCAAATCCTCTCATGCAGATCTACCAACAACCCTAACCCTGGTGTCCCGCGACCAGTACCTTTTGGGGGAGATGATTGGAATGGAAATTGGGATCCGTTCAGAAAAACTTAAGTCAAACATCGCTCATCACTACTTATTGCCTGGGAAGCTTTTGAATAAGACATATGATTAAGGGCTTTTAATGTGATTACAAGAGAAGGTAGAACTAGTCTTTACCTTGTTTGACATCTACTATCGTTCTGTTCATAAAACTTCGTCTTTGGCAAACAAATGTTCTCAACGCAGCAAGCAGAAGTTGGCAACACAGTCCGAACTAGTTTTACATCTTTTTGATATCTCTGTATCTACAAATTAGCACAGAACCAAAACTTGATAAATCTTGTGTAAATGAAATCATTCCGTGGAAACTCAGGTTGTGGGCGCGTTGAAATGTTCTAAGGTGCGTCTCCGCGCCCTTTGTTTCTCTCATCCAGGATCTAGGCGCCGCTTGATATGGAAGACGCGCCTTCCTCTCCAAAGTTGTTATATGTATTTGCTTTCACTTTGAGTCATAAAGAAAGACTGTGTGCTTGATGAGGAGCGAGCACTGTCCAGACATTTTGCGCATTCATAGGCTCTGGGATCCACAAGCTGTTGCAGGCCAACTTTGTATGTTTACTCTCCCAGGTGACATGTCGCTAAAGGCTTCCTGCTTTCCTGCCCCGTCAGACCTGAGGGCATGAGACCGAGTCATATGTAGTCTATCCGAAACCGCTGCCATCGTGGTACCGACGCATCACATGTGAAGACTGAACACGCCCAGATTTACTTTCATCAGCTTGATCGTATATTACAATCAAACTCACCTCTCACAACATGTCAGATAACTCACCCAAGAGGAGGAAGCTCGATCAGAAGGACGAATCCATCGAAGAAACTGACGATTACGTACCCTATGTCTCGGTGAAGAAACGAAAAGAAGTTGAACTTGCAAAACTACTCGAAAAGAAGTTAGGAAGAAAGCTTGGAAACGGTTCTGGTCTCAATGCTTCATCTTCAGGCCCTCAAGGATCACGTCCATCAGGTAGAAAGTCACGAGCAAGATCGAATGAATTTGATGTTGACGAAAAAGCTGAAGATGATGATGAAGATGAAGATGCTCCAGCACGACCAACGACGACACTTTTACAAGAGGCTCAAGTTGTTAAAAGACGTCAGGCGGAAGTTGATGCTTTTAAGACTGAAGAAGACAAGAAAAGAGAAGAAGAAAACAAAGTCATTGAGGCTGTAGCGGCCCAGAAAAAGAAACTTGGAGGGGCTCAGGAATTAGCAAAAGGAGTGGAATATGATAATCCAATGACAACTTCATGGAAACCTCCAAGTTATATTCGAAGAAGAACTGAAGAAGAACTCGAACGATTGAGAGATAAACTTGGGATCTTGGTCGAAGGAGATGATTGTCCTTCACCTATTGAACATTTTCAGGATATGAAATTACTTCCTCCTCTATTAAAGTACCTTAAAGAAAAGAAGATCAAAGCACCTACTCCAATTCAAATGCAAGGTCTTCCTGTCGCTCTGTCGGGGCGTGATATGATCGGTATCGCATTTACTGGATCTGGTAAAACTTTGGCCTTTTCACTTCCGTTACTTTTGTTTGCTCTTGAGGCCGAGAAAAAGTTACCCTTCATTCAGGGTGAGGGGCCGGTTGGGATCATCGTGTGTCCTTCGGTAAGTCTGGCTCATCACACTTAACGTATGAAACCGGAAAGCTAACACATCATCCTAATCTTCGGATCAAACTTTACTACTCATAGAGAGAATTGGCTCGGCAAACCTACGAAACTATTGTCGCTATGGCTCTAGCGTGTGCTCAATCAGGAAAATACCCGCAAGTAGGCACCCTACTTTGCATCGGTGGAATCTCAATGGCCGATCAATCGCACGTGATGTCAAAAGGCTTTCATATTGTAGTAGCTACACCTGGAAGATTACAAGATATGCTTGAGAAACGTAAATTCAACTTGGACAACTGTAAATATCTATGTTTAGATGAAGCCGATCGAATGGTCGATATGGGATTCGAAGAGGATATGAGAAACATCATGAGTTTTTTTAAACGTCAAAGACAAACATTATTGTTTAGTGCAACTATGCCAAAGACGATACGAAACTTTGCCGAAAACAGTTTGGTGAAACCAGTGGTGGTGAATGTAGGTAGAGCTGGTGCTGCTAATTTGGATGTTATTCAAGAGGTTGAGTATGTGAAACAAGAAGCAAAGATGGTTTATTTACTCGAATGTCTTCAAAAGACACCACCACCTGTTATTATTTTTAGTGACAACAAGAACGAAGTTGACGGTAAGCTGATTCATCATCAGGAATTATTTTTCTTGCTCAACTGATGGTGGTTCTTTGGTACTTAGACATACAGGAATATCTCTTACTCAAGGGTGTTGAGGCAGTAGCAATTCACGGTAGCAAAAGTACGTATTTACAAACTTGGATAGCTAACGCATTACTAACCTTGATGTCTTTTGTAAACAGCCCAAGAGGAGCGAGAATATGCAATCAAATCATTCAAATCTGGTAAAAAGGATGTGATGGTCGCCAGTGGTGTTGCATCAAAAGGTTTAGATTTTGCAGAAATTCAACATGTGATCAATTTCACTATGCCAGGTGAAATTGAAAACTATGTCCATCAAATCGGTCGTACTGGTCGATCTGGTAAAACAGGTATTGCGACTACATTCATCAATATGAACACACCTGAACCTACTTTGTTGGACTTGAAGTATCTACTTATTGAAGCCAAACAGAGGATACCTCCATTCTTACAAACGGTTGAAGATCCAAATGCAGGTGGGAGCGGTAATGGTGGATGTCAATTTTGTGGAGGTACGTAGATTTGATCTTCAAAAACAGATGATAGCTTCAAAAACTGATTGATCTAATGATTTGTCAACAATTTTGATAGGTCTGGGTCATTCTGCACTCAATTGTCCCAAACGAGAAGACGCACAACGACGAGAAAGGGCAGGACATCATCGAGAAGAAGGTGGTGGTGGTGGTGGTTATTGATATTCAAGAGAGACTTCTCTCATTTCTTTTTACTTTTCGATTCATCCTTCATTTGCATGTATGAGTTCTTTATGTACAGTCTTGCATTTTGTTGGTACGAAAAACAAAGTATAAGTTTGTATAACTACTCAAAGAGATTTTGTGAGATTCTTCTCATTTAATGTATCATCAACAGTGTACACTTCATCTTGATGATGCTATACGTGTGGGTTCTGAGAATTGGGGATCATCAAGCCTACTGATATGCATACACAATGCATTCAAAGATCTTCTTCCGTGCTCATGTGAGTGAGCCTATTCCAACACCGAAAGTGAGCCTGACAATCAACCGGGGCTTGACTCTGTCTGAACTACTACAGGCTGCTGGATAATTTGGGAGGGTTCACAATCTCCACACAGGTCTGAGACCATGCATTAGCATGCATTCATATTGTCTTGAGAATTAATCAAGTCTTTGAATTTGAGCTTCATACAGATAACCCAGAGCCTAAAGAAGCAAAGCTTTCTATGTAGAGTGTGATGATTCCACTATATATCTCAAGCAATGAAGCTCTGTTGAATGAATGCTGAGATGCGCAGATCTGGGGTTCCACTTGTCAGCAATTTCCTTTTTCGATCAACTGCCATTGTTCAGGGATCCCACTATTTAGCGCCCCTTTGGCTGATATCCGGCGCCCCTCGAGTTTTTCCCAATACCCGCGCGGTCCGTCGATACTCGAACTTTTTCACGCTAAATTTCACACCCTCGGACCTCAGGGGCACCAATAGGGCTCCCTAAGGGGGCACAATTTACCAAAAGCGCCCTTAAATGTCTTATTTGATGCCCCTCCATCCTTTCTGGGGGGCATCGAAGATAATTAAAAGAAAATGCAGGGGCTCCCAAGTTATTTGGTGCCCCTTGGACTGCACAGACATTGGCCCCCAAACAGTCATGGACGCTATCTATCCATACTACTACAAAAAGAGCTCCCCTCTCGCCCATCACAGACTCTCTTCCCTCGTCTGATTTTTCTTCCTTTCCCTGTCTCCCACTGATCACATACAAATACAACCTTAACCTTGATTTGGCACATCCAAAACAACCATAACCTCACTAATTACCACTAATAACACCTTAACCTCACTAACTACACCTTCACCTTCTCTAATATTCTCACATCATCGTTCAGACTTTCAAAACTTCGAAACTTCGAAATTTGATACACTATGCTATGCCTTATGCCTTGTGTGTTCAATTTAAGATACATTTTATGCCAACTACGGTCTGTTGCCCATTGAGCGAGCTAGCTTCACTCGCAAATATCGATTATGTCCAAAATCGAAAATCGAAGAAGAAAAACGATTGAACGTTTGTATGTATGTACATGAGAAGAAAGCGGTAAAATGTGGTTGCCCCTTTTTGCCCCTTTTTTTTACAAAGGGGCGCCGGAATTATTTGTAGCCCCATGTCCGACCCGAAATGGGGCGCCGGATACTGTTCCGAGGGCGCTAAATAGTGGGATCCTTGTTCAGACTGCGAGTCCGCGGTGAATGCGGTGAATGCGGTCAACTGCATGTTACTCGACGGGCCGGGTCTGTAACAAGACCGACCAGCCGGCATAAATCCTGGGTTGACTGTCCCATTTCGAGACCATTTCCTTGCCTTTGACCATTTTCTGTTTAGCTTACTTTCCATCATCCTCGAAGAAAAGTTTTTTCAAAATGTCGGCCATTTGCAAGTTGAGTGTTCATTCTTTATGATATATATTAGTGCATATATCTCATCTCGCTTCGTCCATTCTTTAATTGCTTTTGTTTCAGAGCTCGTCTAGCAGAAGAAAGAAAACAATGGCGAAAAGATCATCCTTATGTGAGCTCAATTCAAAAAATCTCACAAACGCCTCAAAAAGCTTGCCGATTATCGAACGACTGAGCGCTGATAGATTTTCGCGTTTACAATTGTTGTCTATCTCTCATCATCAACGATATTAAACAACGCGATTTTTTGCAGGGATTCTGGGCTCGACCTATGAAGAACCCCGATTCTACGCTCAACATGATGTTGTGGGAAGTTGGGATTCCCGGAAAGGAAAACGTCAGTCGGCTTGCGTTTTTAGTCACTCAACACCTTCAGATTTTTTTCAAGCGTTCGGACAGCATTTTACTGACCTTTCAATATTGCAACCTTTTGAACAAATCAATAGACTTCTTGGGCCGGTGGATTATACAAGTTGCAAATGATCTTTCCTGAAGGTTAGTTCCCCTCATAAAATCAACATAAACACTGTAAATCTGTGGTCCGCGTTTTTGACTGACCATTCTATATCATTTCAATAGATTATCCTTCCAAGCCGCCAAAGTGTTAGTGTTTTTTCAAGTTACACCGATCATCCTATCCCGAACTTGTCAATTCATATTGTATCTTTTCACTGATGCACCGGATGTATATTGACGCGAAAAAAACCATGATACCTTTCATTAGGCAAATTCACTCCAACTATCTTTCATCCTAACATATACCCTTCTGGTACTGTCTGCTTATCGATCCTCAATGAGGAAAAAAGTTGGAAACCAGCTATTACGCTCAAGCAGGTCAGTTCAATCTTGAACTGTTTGATCTACGAGACTTCTGCGCCTTATGTTGATAATCATTCCATTCATCAAACGTATATCGTCAAAACCAGATCGTGTTAGGTATACAAGACCTACTAAATGACCCCAATAATTCGGATCCAGCACAAATCGAAGCTTACACTATGTACAAAGACAACCCAGCTGCTTATGAGTAAGAATTTTAGTACTGATAATTCTTTCACGAAGGCATCCTTCAGTCGTGATACTGATGTGGTTCTGTTTTTGGTGATGTAGCCAAAAGGTCCGAGAACAAGCCAAGCTTATGCGCCCGACTTGATCCCTTCAAGAAACGCTATCGAGAATCTGACTTTGATGTTACGTTGTATTTCAACGTACTCATAAAGCTTGTCATCTTCTGAAATCCCTACCCAACAAAACATCTAAAAGACTCACATGTCTTCGTATCTAGCTTATGCTTGTAAAATCTTCTATCCTACTTCTTTTGTGTTTTCATTTTCATGCTCATCATTCAACGCCAACAGATTTTTTTGGTTGTAAGATAATTCCACTAACTGGCGCTTTGAATCTAGAAGCGAATGTCCGTAGGAAAGGAATCTCCAATATATTTCTCTTGATCTTCTTTATGTTCACTTAGATCTTGCCTTTGGGTTTCACAAAAAAGGTTGAGTTCTTCCATGATACATATTAAAGATATGGTGGATTTTCTGATATGATTCACTTGGTATGATTCCAGAAATTGAAAGATTAGGCTTGAGAGTATGGAAAAGGTCGTGTCAGTGTGAGTGGTGAGAAAGTGGGTCAGAATTGGAAAAGAGCATCTACTTAGGATGCAAAACAAGAAAACAAGGACTTCGAGTGAAAAAGATGAGTTCCATGAAAGGAAAGCATACAGACAAATGATCCATGTTCAAAAGTCCCTTTGTTGTGCCACCAAATAACACCCCTTTATACAATTACAAAGCTTTGGGACTCTCAAGTCAAACCAAGTTTCCACATTTTCAGATTGATTGAAAGTAACCTCAATCAAGTTGTTGTTGACCTTCCATTTATCTCAGAGCATGTTTTTACAAACCAACACAAAAGTCATATACAAACCATGCTTTCTTTTGATACTTGCACACCTTTGAATCATCAAGAAAGTATCATAGATCTTTATGAACATTTTATTATTAGGTGATTTTATACAGTCTTCGAGCTTCAAAATTGATTTGTTCAAATTCTGTGCAATACACGAGAACTTGCACGGGTTTTGCGCGTCGGTCTTGCACGGTTTTTGCACCAGTTGAAACAATATAATAACTGGGCATGTCAAAAAGAATAACGTGCAGGATTATTCATGCACGATTTTTTTCAAGTTTGAATACCATGATTGTGATCTAGAATCCAACGCAGTGAGAAAACATCTTCTCTGAAATCAAGTCATGCCTTTTACCGTTCTGGACCCTTTGATAATTGATGAAAGTATTTACTGAGCTCTGGAATAAGTGCTTGAACGATAATTACTGTAAAAGAAATCCAAATATGGTTCATCCTACATCTGATGGATGAAAGAATATAAATCTTATTGTTGAGTTGAAAAGACTTTTACCTAGGCCTTGAAGATTTCAGAGGGATTTTGAAAGATTTGGTTGAATTCAATGATATATCGTAAATCTTTAGTATATGAATAAGAAAGATGCAGCCACCCTGATTCAGGCCTGTCCCGGGGCATTGTAGAATGAGAAACAAGCTATGAAGACAATAGAAACAGAAGAGAAAATTTGAAAGGATTGTGACTTGATTGTTTCTCAATATTTAGCCCAAGTAAACTAGCTTAACGCAAGCCCCACCAGCTTCTCGCAGTGTAAAGTGGCTCTTTGGGAAAGGTGGCATAAACCCTTATAGAATGCAAGACTGGAAGGGATTAAGCTTACTCTTGCGCGGTCGCCCGATAATCGATTGTGCTGAAGAGGGTCCGGGAGGTTTGGCGAGTCGATCACCAGCCATTTTGAACCACACATATCGACGCTCTCTTTTTCATCACCATCCCTTCCAGACTTCAAGACACACGATCATAAAATCAGCAGAGAAGACCTTCAAGGGGAAAAGTCATACATAATTTGGAGATTTCAACTCCGAACATCCACTTGCGTTGACCGGGGATGGTTGAACTATGTATTGAGCTTCAGCCTTCGCGGAATCATTTAATCTTTGCAACCTTTTTCAACTCTGCCGAATTGACTGAACTAATGTTTGATCACAGATTGAAGCAAAATGCAGGTTCAGCATCCTTCCAGATCCTTCCTTCCACTGTGCACATATGAGGTATGTACATAAATGTGTGAGAACCAGCTTTGGTCAACCCTGGTCGACCACATTCTCGAAACGTACGGGTGAGACAGAACTATCGGAATCTGGGATGGGGAAAATTGCCAAAGAAAACTTTCCGGGTATCGAAAAGGCCAAAATCGATCATTTTGAACCTTTTTGGACCTATGTGAACAACACTTCTGCCGATATAGGGGCTGCCGGGCTCCCGATATGTGGATCGCACGCAGACAGACCCTTATGTAAGGAGCGACAGATCAGAAGTTGTAGTAGTCCTACTTTACACCCACCTAGTCAGTTAGTGCGATATGTGAAATCAAAAGCACTTAAAAAAAAAAAAAAAAAAATAGGTATTTGCGCCACACTCTATATACACAGCCTTCAGTGGCGGCTGGCATCGCCCCGGAACTTGAACTACGCTCCTCACAGAGAATTGGAGGACTGCCGGAGGGTGGGAATCGCGGGAATGGGATTGGGATGTATGACCCTGTACTCACCGCCACGTTTCAGTCCAAAGATTTAGGCTGAGCAGTACACAACATCTTCTTCGGAAACATTCGTCCCATCGGCCTTTGGCCGAAAATGCATTTTGAATCTTGACCAGACCGATCATAACATCCTTGTCCAACCACTGGCATGTGAAGCTACAGATCACGTTTGTGAAAGGTGTTAGCGATATTAGCAAGGACATCATAACTCAAGATAGAGACTCATCGCTCTTTCCAGTGTTTGAGTAACCCAGAAATACCATGCTTGACCAATCCAGTCAAGTCGCTCAGAAACCGATCATAGATAGATACGAGTCGATGGCCTGTAGAATTAATGCACTTTTTCAAAAATGTCTGTCGCGTTTTGGGATGTGTTTGAGCTAGTAGACTAGAGCGCTAGCTGGAATTATCAAGACAGTAGCCTTGCCGGATTGGGTGTTGGGTATATTCTGTACGTCAATTCATTTGTACAGTACCCAATCCCAATCCCATCCCATTCCCAGTCTCCGGCAATCCTCTGGTGCTCCAGCTCCTTGCGCCGGGACAGCGACCTTGGTATTTATTTGCCCTTTGAATACGCGTCGCTTCCTCGTTGTCTCCTCACCCACATCCTCCTGGACTGAAACCGCGTCATTTATCTCTGTCAACATGCTTGCATTTCGCACTTCTATCGTCGTGATTGTGTTAGGACTCATATCTACAATCACGTGCCAACAAACTTTCTCTGTCAAGTGCAGTGCTGGACTCAAGTATTACGATAAAGACCACTTCCGTCAGTAGTTTTGTCTCCTCATCCATACATCATGTGGTCATCTAGCCTCAATTTTCAAAGAGAAGACAACAACAAAGTTCATCCTCTTTTCTTTTCATCCTTCGGTTACAGTATGTCAATCTTTTGATGATGACAACGACAATGAATACGCGCGTACAACCTACACAAACTGGAAATGCCTCGCGCCCATGCAGACGCACCCTTCAGGTGACTACTTAATTATATATTTCCGATCATTCTATGGAAAGCTCATTTTCTAATGTTTTTCGCATTCCTTGAACAAATTCCAAATCACAATGCAGGCAGTGACTGTGTCACAATTCCCGACCAGCGCATAGAAAAGTCAGTTAAATTGAGCAGCGCCACATGTCGTGATATTTACTCAACTTGGGTGAGCGATAAATTTAAGAAGGGTATCCGTAAGTGACTATTCCATCTACCAAATGATTGTAATGCGACTAATTCGTCTTCGCTCAGTTTGTCGTACCACTACTGGTGTCCGAGTGAATTGTAAAGTCATGCAAGCCGCTTGTAAGTGTTATCCTGAGCTCAATCTCACTTCATTTCTGTTGAACATCTGATTAATTATGAGTACCTGTCGTACAGCGTTTGCAAATTGCGAGAAGATTCGTTGAATTGGAGTGTGAACGTCCGACTTGGTCTATCTCATGTAAGCAAATTTTTCAAACATATTCGTGGCTCCTGGTTGATTTGATTTCAGATGGATGCTGACTTCATTCTTGCTGGTTCAGTTCCCTTGGAAGCACAACGGACTACCTTCATGATTATTCTCGAGTCCCTGACTATGAAGAACCAATGATCAAAGCATGATGTCTTCATGTTTTTATGTCTGTTCAAATATTGAAATGAAATTTTCTCAGAAGTATCATTGTGATTTGATGCTGCATTTATCACAAGATACCCATTTAACACTGTCATGCATTCAGACAACATGGCCACTATACTATACAGTATTGTGATACTGCAGCATAGTACTGAATTTCCAATACTATACTTTGAAAGTACAGTATTGAACCAAGTATAGTCTCATACTAACTATACTATACTATAACTATACTATACAAAGTATAGTATGGGCGCCTAGAATTTTTTGACCATCCTTTTGTGGACAATAAAGGTTGCAAAACGGGATGACTGTAAAAATACATTATTCCCGGTCAATATTTATTTTTACGGCACTTCCCAATTTTTGAACGTCTGGGAAATAAACCCTGCAAATGTTCAATCACAAAAGTATACACCTGAAGCCCAAACATTTATATTTCCATCCATTCCTTCACCACCAACATATTTGCCTCAGATTGAATTGCCTATTTTTTCTTCATCAATATTGAGAGAAGGATCTTCTTCTTCTTTGCCAGCTGATTCTGTGTCTGGGCCAAACAAATTGTGCATTTGCAAGTCCTCTGCATGACTATATGGATCAGCTTTCTCCTTGACAGCTGCTTCTGATTTAGGGTCACTAAATATCTCTACTTTAAACCCTCAATATTGAAATCATTCTCTAATCAATTCTCCTTCTGTTCCACTACCTTGAACGGGTCTTCTGTCTCTTGCAAAGATGATTGATTCTTACCGGTTTTTGTTTTGCCAACAGACTTACCAATATTTTTCTCTACGGTCTTCGTTATCAACACCTCTTCAGAAGTAGGTTGGCAGGAATACATGACCCAGGAAGTATTAGGTGAAGCTCCTCCAATACTATCCAACCCTATGCTAACCAATGTAGTGTTACCTCCATTGAGCAAGTTGTAGTAGACACCATTCATATTCAATTTGTAGGGTAGGTCACATTCAGCTACCATTCTGGTCACTTCTGCAGGTGTGAAGTTGGATGATGGCATGGTGTTTGCTGTGATATGAAGATGAGGGGGTGGTGATACAAGTAGAAGTTGCTTCCTTCCCAGAAAAGGAGGTGAAGATGAAGGCTGGGCTGATGGACTCCTAGCTGTTACAGGTTGTACTTAGACAACTATTCTCCAGAAGATATGTCCAGAATGGTATCTGTAGTCAAGATACTGAATGAAGAGATTCTACAAGAAAAGGTTCAACCATAAGAGTGGGGTTAGCTCAGGCTCAGGCTTATTAATGAACCAAGTTGTGCTTACATCACTAAACCCTCCATTGTGCTCTTCCCATTTATCCACTAGTCTTGTCTAGGTGTCAAGACTTCCTAATCCCATATTGTGGATATTTACACCCCAACAAGCCACTTCAAACGGCTAGTCAAATAGTTCTAGTTCAAAGTTCTGCCAAATGGGCTTAGAAAGATCCCCCACCCAGACAATTACAGTAACACCATGTTGGTATCCTTGTAGCATGTCAAAATGCACACATGGAGAGTTTTGAAAAAAATCAGAAAATCTTTTGGTAGGCTTTAGAATGAGATTGGTGTTGAGTACCCTCTGTGAATAATCATTTGACTAAAGGATTTGTGGGATCCTTTTTCAGCAGTTGGGGTCAACTGTGTGTCAGCATCCCAGTTAACAAAGGGAAGATGTGCCTATTGTGGAGACCTCTTTGAAGGATCTTTCAAGTATGTATCCAAAGTCTTAGGTGTGTGCACATTGACATGCTCCAAGGATACAGACACAGTGTAACTTATAGGTGTACACCTAGTAAGCTGTAGTAGGAATTAAATAGACAATTATGTTGTAATGTGAAACACATTCAATTTGAAACCCAGGCAACAAACAAAATGAAATAAATTTATAATACTAGTTTCCAATCCACTTTATTGCCAAATATTAAGAGATATTCAGTGATCTAATTTTGAGTCTGTTAAAGGAGTGAAGAAAGTAATAGAAGGTCACAAAGCAGGGTGACTGTAAAAATACATTTTCCACCTCCATAGGGGAATTCCTGGGTCCTGTCTCTGCAGTAACATAAATTTCACACTTAGTAAACAAAAGCGGCACATGATAACTGCACACCCACAAGATCTGCTTTTTATTTGTTGCAAAATTTGGCAAGCTTGGGGGAGCACCAGATGGAGTGTTGAGGGGCAATTTTCTTGGTGTGGTACACCACAGGGCGGCTGGCAGGTGAGCTTCAGGTGAAATCAGCCTCTGCCAAAACATCCCGGGCTCTCCACCTGAGGCCACACTGATTGAGCTACAGGTGAAATTCAGGGTGGCCAACACCTGACGTGATCACCTGTCCACAAGGTGATGGCTCACCTGTCCATTACATGAGTATTTTCACCTGTTGATCAGGTGAAAATACTCATGTAATGGACAGGTGAGCCATTTCCTTGGGAGTGGGTTATCGAAATCTCACCTAATGACGAATATAAAATGGTCATATCAAAACGGTCATAGATGTGAAACCGTGAGACCTTACAAAATTATTTATGTGAGGGCCCCCGCCAGCCCCCCTGGGGGGGCCACACACAAAGAAAAATTGCCCCCCAAAAATCCCTTTGGGGGCCTCCCCCCCGCTGGTGCAAAATTTGGGAAAAAAAAAAAAAAAAA